TCACCAAAGAATTCAGATACAAATCTAGATTTGCATAATATATGTGTGAAAATTGGATATTTACAGGTGAGTTTCTGTTCTGAAATTTATAGGACAAAAACATTGAATAGTATTTTATTAATTAAATAGAACGGCTTGCAACTGATTCTGCAACTCAGATCAAAATCTTAACTAGTATCAGGATTTTAATATCAGGATTTTGTGGTAGAACCGAAAGAACTTTAAATAGACTAGTATTAAGTTTTAACTTCACTACATTGAAATTTTAATTAACCTTCATTATCCAATTAATTAATTAAAGAATTTGATCAATTTGATACCTATTTGACCAGAGGTCCTTCGACTATTGACTTGCAAATTCTTAATTGACCAAAGATTAAATATGACCAAATTTCATCAAAATTTGAACTAGTTTTTTACATTTTTTAATTAAATATTCTAAAATAAAACTAAAAATATCATCAGAAATTGCTGAATTTTCGTGATTTAAAAACAAATATTACAATTTTCTTTAATAATTTCATATACATAGTAATTTTATTACAAAGTGTTATGACAAGTATTATAGCATGTTATACTATTTGCATCAATGCTACAAAGTTTATAGTAAAAATTGCAACTCATTACCCAATGTGTTTGCATCTCTAGTAATTATAAACAAATTTGTTTCTATGCAACAGGTAAAAAAACATTAAATTAGAATGTCCAAAATTCTGCGGTGAATAAATCTGTTCACTCTAAAGATACTTTGCCTATTGTCTCTGCAAGATAAACGTGATTTTAATCATTTTTTTAAATAAAATGCAATGTATACTTGTTATTTAATGAATATCTGTGGATACAGTGTATTCCACAGGATAATAGTAAAATTACGTGGCCTTTGGCCAATGGTTTAGGGTGTCTAGGATTATGCGATGCGATAAGGTGAATTATGCGATATGATTAGGTCAATTATACAATGGGTGTGAAATGATTTAAAAATTATGTGAAATAATTAAATAGGATGCGATTTTTAATAGTATTATTTATTTATTTATTAAAATTTAAAAAATTCAACATTCTAATTGAATTTTCCGACAAAGCATATCTATTATCTGCCAAAATTTGCTTATAAGCCGAAAAGCTATGTTCAACATCCACTCCTGAAACTGGTAACCAAATATAAACCAATGCAATTTTGCTAATATTTGGTAACAAACTCATTTTCTCACGCCAATAATTATCCAAATCAAAACTTTCACCAAATATTTCTGACAACCCTGAATAAATTGCCCATTCACTAAGAAGATCATTTGATAGATTTTCTAACTCCTTGATTGCTTTATATAATGTAATATTGCATCAATCAGTTTGGGCTTGTATATATCGGGGATCAAAGCAATGAATTGCTTTGAAAATTAAAAGTGCAGAATGATTTTGAACATGTTTGTTAAATTTTTCATATGCCAACTGAAATACTTCTTTAAAGATTGTATCATATGATAATATATCATATTGATATGTTTGACAAATATCAATCATCTTATTTGATTTTAGTGGCACTTGACAACCTGAATTTAAATGAGCACGTACTTGCTCTAACCTATCTGCAACAAACGGTGCTACTGGCTTATTTTGAATTTTAAAAAATTCAAGACTACTAACTAATCTATATGTTTTAATAAGTAATTTAATTAGTAAATATATAATTAATTATTATAATGCAAATAAATACTATATTTATTATTTACAATTGCATATTATAAGTAATAAAATAAAGAATAAATTGCAAATAAAATAAATTATCCTGGTTTTCAAAAACTTTTACTAACTCAGAAATTGCATTACTATCATTGCCTATTTCGGATTCCTTAAAATAAAAATCAACTAAAAGTTTAAAATAGTTACAAATCCAAAATGAAAAATTAAACCACGAATTCCATCTGGTTTTTACAGGTAATGGCGGAAGTGTAGAATCAGAATGACCATTTAAAGAAAGAAAAGAAATCTATCGTTGTTTTCTAGCTGGGGAATAGGTAAAAGTTGTTTTAATTAAACTGATAGTGGAATCAAGAAGCTTAAAATTTTTATATCTGATCCAAACTTCTTCTACTAAATTAAGTATGTAGGCGAAACAAGGATTATACTTAATTTGGGGCATTAAAGGAGAAAGAATATTAAATATAGCTAACATGTACGAAGCATTATCTGAAATAAATAAAATTACATTCTCAAAAGAAACTTCATAATAAGAAAGTGTTGAAATAACAAGTTGAGAAATAGTAGTTTTATTTACAGCTTTCAAATAATCTGTTTTGACTAAATAAGTTTGATTAAAAAAACTAAACAAAATATTTACTACTGCCCTGCTACAAGAATCTGTTGTTTCATCTACTATAATATAGATTTTTTTTTCATTTAACAAATTTTTAAGTTTTTCTTTCTCCTGTTAAAACAAAATTGGAAGGTACTTTTCACGAATTTGATTAGCTCCAGGAACTGCGCCACCTATTAAAAAAAACAAATAAAAGTAATTAATGCCAATAAAAAATCAAATTATATTTGTTAAAAATAAAAAAATTTACAACCATATTTGCAATGTTTGAATAAAAAAGGTTGAAAGCAACCAATTTTTTCAAAGGGTATATCAGCCTCAGCTAATATCTTTATAAAATCAAGAACAAATTGTTCTTTTTTATCATAAGGTTTATTAAAAGTAATAGTATGTTGAGCTAAAGGTTTTTGAGGTTTTTGTAGTGCATAGTTTTTTTTTTGTTTATGATTAGCAGATTCTAAGTGTTTATTGATTACAGATTTTTTTTATGATCAATAAAGGTTTGACAAAACCGACAAAAAAGTTTTCCTCCATCTATATAAAAGTTTTCTTTATATAAAGGATTTTTATAAACCCGGTCTGTAGCTGTAACTATATTGTTTTTTTTTTGATTAAATTTGTGATTTATTACTAACAAGACAAGCCAGAACTACAAAAAATTTTTTTGATAAAATCTTGGATATCCAAGAAGCATCAGGGGGGTTTTTTTTTTTTTTTTTTTTTTCTTATTTAACCCCTTGATGTTTGACATCAATAAGATATCATAAAAAGCTATTTAAAAGAAGTATCACTTTATTGATCTTATCATTATTGCTTTACTCAGAAATTCATTATGCTTACAATATAAAATAATGAACTACCGAATAAAGCTACTATTTATAATATTTATCCACCAATTATATACCTAGGATGCTTTTTTTTGCCCGATTATGTGAAGCATCTGCGATGTGAAAATATGCGCATAATATGCTTTCGCATAATCCTGGACACCCTAATGTGGTTTACTATTATTCTGTAAAATACACAGTGTCTACAAATGAGGGTGAGTCAGTAGAAACGCATCATGTTGTTTTTAATGAAATTTTTTTGAATCTTCAAACAAAAATAAATCAGCAAAAACTTAACCAAATTTAGTAAAAAATTTTTTAAATAAATTTTACAAGTTTTTTGAATTGGTTTAAAAAAAATTTTATTAAATTTAATTAAGTTGTTGTTGAATTATTCTTGTTTAAAGTTTCAAAAAAATTTACTTAGAAAAAATATGGTGTGTTTCTACTGACTCACCCCAAATATTCATTAAATAACTAGTTTATTCCATGGGTACGACATAACAACCCATGCATCATGTAATCAATTAAACTTTTTTTTCAATTAAACTTTTTTTTTCTAGTACAGTAGTAAAAAAAAAAAGAAAAAGAAAAAACTGCATTGCTGCTTCTACAGAAGAGATTCTAGAACCTTGCCTGTAGAGAAAACTAACAAGTGTATTTCAAGGTGGTGACGTTTGGTCAACAGATTCTGTGAAACTACTAATTGCAAAAAAAGTGAAATATCAAAACTGTGACGGAATTGAAAGACTTTCTCTGCAGGTTTTTTATCAGGCTGAAATGCTTAAACAAAAAAATATGGATGCTTTTGTATTACTTTTTTTTTTGTTAAATAGCACAAGCAGCGAAGGTTTAAAAATTTCATGTTTTTGAATTAATACTTGCTACTACCTTTTTTTTTTTTTTTTAATGCCAGATATAAGTAAAGGTATTTAGTTTAAGAAAGCTTGAATAGGCGTTGAACAAATTAACACAATAATGATGAAAATAACTGAATTTGCAGTTATTAATTGGCGTAAGTATATTATTAATAAATTAAAGCTTTTATTGTATATGTTGAATTCTTTATTAACGACTTTATTTTAGTGCCAAAAAAAAAACACAAAAAATTAACCATTTTGTGAAACTTCGCTGGGCCATCGCATAAAACATCGAATGAACCATCTCCAATGCCACCAAAAAGACTATTACTACAATATTAACAATTATTTTGAATTTTTAAATAATGCATTTTTTTTATTTAAATAAATAAATAAATAAATATTTTTACAGTTAAAAAAGAATTTTGGTAAAAAAATTTTAAGTATTTAAAAAAAAAATGGTTTCTATCGAATGACAATTTTAAAAGACCTAACCTATATAAGGTTTTTCCCGGCACATAATTTAAAAAATCCAAATTCGAATAAAGTCCTTTTTAGCGCATGACAATTTATGACAAAGTTATTCAACACCGGTCTATATGAAAATCATGTGATTTTCATATAGACCGATGAAAATAACCTTGTCAAAAAAGCACGGGTTGTTACATAGTACCCATGGAATAAAAAAGTATTTTTAGTATGAGCAGATTATGCACCGCAGAATTATGAACTCTACATTGGACCATCAAACGGAACGGAAATAATATCATTTGTTGCCACTTATCTCTCCATCAGCTTGCTCCAAAAAATAAAGACTACGAATTTTTGACTTATACTTGCTCTATACAGTTGGTGGCCATAAGAAAATTACTTTTTGAAATTATTAAAAAAAATCAGTGATTAATATATTTAAATGGTAAGAGATTGGTAATCACCATAATTTAATTTATAAATTACATATTCCCCCATTTAATAACAAGCAAAGTTACTGATATTAAACTAAGATTCTTTTCGAATCTTCAAAGAAAAGTCTACATGTTTTACTCCCTGAGACAAACATCCCAAACTTAAGATATCAATATCTGATATAGTTTCCATAATTATATATCAAATCAGTATAAATAAAAAGTTATTTATTAGCAAGAATAAATATTAATAAATAAAATTTATACATACCGGGACAAAAAAATTCGGTAATATTTTCATCTGTAATTCCACCACTAGATTCTAGTAAAAATTTTTTATTTGTCCATTTCTGTTTCAACGATTTGGCACAAGTTCTTAAATTTTCGCCTTTAAAATTATCAAGCATAATCACATCTGCTCCAGCTTGAATTGCTTCATCGGCTTCTGCTTCAGTACGACATTCAACATCTATCTTTAGTGAAAACCCACCAACATTTCTAGCACGTTCGATTGCCTTTTTTATTGACCCTGAAAAGAATGAGTAACAGATTACATTATGTAATGATGGCAAATTTTAATAAAAAGAGTGAAAATAGTGAACCTTGGCTCCAGATATGATTGTCCTTTAGCATTACCATAGAAGAGAGATTCATACGATGAGTATCAGCTCCCCCGACAAGCATCCCATATTTTTCAACAAGACGAAAACCTGTGTAAAGAACCAATTTCGTGTAATAAATTATTAGTACGCTTGATAACAAACTAATATTATCATCGTTATTATGGATTACCTGGTGTCGTTTTTCGCGTTCCCGCGATTACGCCTTTGAAGTTATGTTCCCTTTTAAGATCTATACAATTCTTGCTTCTGAAAAAAAAAAAAAAAAGAATTCAATATATTATTTTCAATTTAAAATTTAAATTTAGTAATATAAATATAGTAGCTCGCCTCCCTAGTTGCTATTCCACTACAACGTGCAATGATATTGAGAGCAATTCGTTCACCCCTGAGAATATTACAAGCTTTTCCCTGAACTTTAGCAATTTCTTTTATTGGCTCAAAATAATCGCCTTCTTTCAAAAACCACTCAACACTTTAAAAAATATATAAAATTAATAATTTAAAGATTTAAAATTATCCAGCTAAAAATAATTAAATAAACCTGCAATCCAATTGACTGAAAACTTCATTAAAAAATGGTACACCAGCCAGAACTCCCTTGCATCATAAAAAATCAATTATTTAATTATAACAATTTTAATATTAAAAACTTAATTAGGTTAAATTTACAGGTGATTTTCCATATAATATCGCAACTTCTGGAGTTTCTCCAACAACATATCCCCCATAATCAAAGGATGGTATATCTTCTTTAATCCAAGCGGCAATATCATCTTTGATGGATTCGGGAATAAGGTTTGCGTATTCACTTATTGACATTATCGTTATTCAGGACTATATTTTATAGTTCGTTTTTTTAGTAAAAATCCCAGGGTATAATTGTTACACGGGGTACACATGTCGGTATATATTTAGTACTCTTTGATCTTGACTGATCAGTATCACATGTTCAAACTTTAAAAATTTTAACTTTAAAAATTTCGACGTTCGATAATAGTAGAAAAGAGTAGAAAAGAGTAGAATGCCCGAATCTTTTTTAGGCAATCCTGCATTGGTACTCTTTTTACTTTACTATATTTTAAAAAATAGAATATCTTGCAACTTTATTGAAACTGTGAATTCAATAGGACCATGCCGTTGCCGGATTTACAGCTGGCGCTGTCTCTACGATAATTTTACATCCTTTGGACTTGGTAAAGACGAGATTTCAAGGTGGGTGAATAGATAGGCTTGTGAAAAGGAAAGTTTTTTTTTGACACTAATAAATATCATATCGTCAAATAAATCAATGAACGACTGTTTAGCCGATGATTCGATCAAAAGTTTAAGTAGACGTCATTTTGGTGCTACATTCAATGCATTGAGGTCAATTGTTCATAAAGAGGGAATTATAGGACTCTATCGTGGTGTTTCACCAAATTTAGCTGGTTCAACAGCCAGTTGGGGTTTTTATTTTTATTGGTAAGGAGGTATATCAGATCATGGGTAGGTTTATTATCCATATCAAAAATAGGCAACATGATTCGAATTTAATATATAGAAGAGAGCCTGCTATTTGTTATGTGGATTTTTACTATGGATAAAATTGATCAACTGGTTATCATTTAATTATAATACATGATCTACATTGCTTGATCAAATTTTAAGTAAAAATATTATGTGATAAATGGCACGCCCCTTACTAACGCGCATCGATCTATTATTATATCGGGTTATAACTTAGGTACGATTTAATTAAACGATGGATGGCTAATGGGGATAAATTAACAAAACTCTCACCGACACAACATTTATTGGCATCAGCTGAGGCAGGTAATTATGATTATTGGTGAACAATTTGAAAAAAGATTTTTTTAAAAAATTCTTCTTTACATGGATAATACGGAATCGTATAAAAAGGTGCTATAACGGTCTTCATGACAAATCCATTTTGGGTGGTTAAAACTCGGATGTGCGTTACGAGCCGTAAAGATCCGGATGCGTATAAAGGATTAATAGGTAATAAGCATTCATCTTTTTAGGACGCAGAAAATATCAGCTCATTATAACCCAATTTTCCGTTAATATTTTCTTTCAAATACCGATTAGTTACCAAAAGGAAAGTGAAAACTATAATGAGCTGACATTAACACCCCATTTTCTAATCTAAACATTCATCCCTAATTTTTATATTATGAATTTTTTCAAGATGGCCTATACCAGATAGCAAAGTATGAAGGAATTCGTGGCCTATATAAGGGGTTGGCCCCAGGATTACTAGGCGTATCTAATGGTGCTTTGCATTTTATGTTTTATGAGGAAATGAAAAAATGGAGATTAAAGATTACTCCTGAAAAAGATCGTGAACGATTGGTAAGTTTTATTCATGTTTAGTTATCATTCGCCAATTCTACTTTCTTTACATATAAACTAATAGTAATATGTTTTCTTTATTTTGAGGACAATATTGAATATATTTTGGTGGCTGGGTCTTCGAAAACAATAGCTAATGTAGCAACATATCCATATCAACTAATTCGCACACGATTAAATAATCAAAAATTTGTTATCAAATATAATGGCGTAATTGATGCGATAAGGAAAGTTTATAGGTAATAAAAAAAGCTTTGTGTTTAAAATGATTTATATTATAACTAACTTTTCTATTTTAAAAGTGCTGAAGGATTATTGGGATTTTATAAAGGTTTGGCTCCAAATACATTGAGAGTTCTTCCAAGCACTTGTACTACATTTTTAGTTTATGAAAATATGAGTGCATTTTTTAGGAAGCATGCAAGATTTAATGAATGATATATGTGGTAAGCAATTCATAAGATTAGTGAATTTTAATAATTAAAAAAAATAAATAGAAAAAAAAAAGACTCCCCGCGTCACTTATTATTATGAAGCTTGTGATTGATAGTGTAGTTGAGAGGTTACTAATCGTGATTTTTTTTAAGGAATGTTTGTTAAAATTCATTTTAAATAAAGTGTGTTGTGAAAATTTACACTTCGCCATGTTATTGAATAAGGTACCAGAATGCAGTGACACGGACAAATTATTTTGATTCAAAGTAAAAAATTTCGACTATCTTAGCTATTTTGAACATAAATCACGATTTATTTTAAACAAAGACTAGGGGGTTATGGCCCAGTTCTAATCGGGATTATGTTTTTTGGAACCAGTTTCAAATTTACTAGGTTTTTAATGATCAATTGCAAATGTTCTGGCACCATCATTTACAATAGTTCTAATACTATTGTTTTACATCGGGTTCATCGTCATCATTTAAGACTTTATAATCGCTCACTATACAAATATATATTTTTTCTTATTAAAATAAATATACCGTACCGCACTGTCTTTAAGACCCCCCAATGCAATATCCCTCATCGAATTATACCCGGATACATTACAAAAAAAACTCTCGAAAAAATTGTATAAGACCCGGGTATTAAAATTTCAGGTTGATATATTAATTAAACTTGATTTAATAACAAAGCCTACCTCCAAGTCACAGTACCCTCCAAGCATAGTACCCACTCTTGGTTAAGTACCCATG